CGCTTCTCAGATTTTGGAGTCTGCAGGCATTTATCTCAACTCACTAAAGCAAACACAACTGTCTTCTGCTATATCAAAAACTGAAAAGCTGCCAGCAACACTTACGCATACTGCAGAAAACATTCTGCATGACTTCCATCTGGTATTCATCAATCTAAGTGGATGTAAGGATGGCATATGTTAGCATTCTCCCACAGCTTAGAGAAAGTAACCATCTTGCCCTCCTTGGTGGAGACATCTCATTTTTTTTGCATCAGATATTTTTTTATTTAGTCATTTTTAAACACGCTTCAAACTCTCATATTGGAAGGCAGCCTTCTGGGCATTCCCAATGGACTCACCACACTGCTGCATGGTGCTGTGCCATGAAAACCCAGCACAAACCTATCTACAAGTCAGTGAGTCTGACAATCAGGTCGCACAGAGCTCCTGTTTAGACCACACCACTAAAAGATATGTAGGGTGTTGCTTTGCCCAAGAACAGACATCACCCTCTATATGAGAGAAAAGAGAAACAAGACTGAAACATGCTTTGTTTTCCATTATTTGTACTGTTAATTTTGCTGCAAGTCTTAAAACCAAATAGACAAGCTTAGACTCCAAGATCAAACTAAAAGTTCCAGACTTTTTTTTCCTATCACCACCAATGGTGTATACTTTTCCAACAGCCTCATTGCAAAGGGAAAACAGCTCTCTCTCTACATGGAGACAAATGCAGAGATGTATATATTTACTAAAATACAGTCTGGAGGATTAAAGACCTAACATGGTGGCATATTTAAGTGCAAACAAATGGATGATCCAGTTGAACTCTGGGAGAACACAGGGGCTCAAGTTTCTGACTGATAACCACTGCCACAGTGCAAAGCAAAGCCCAGGGAGCTCGTGGCAAGATTCCCTTGCATGTGAGCAGACACCAGCTCAGGTTCCAGGCTCATAGCACCAACACCAAGCCTGCTTTCTCAAATTTCAGCTAGCAGATGTGCAGCAGAGTTCTATCTGCCAAAGAGGCACAAGCTTGTGTTTGTTCTCTCATGTCGTCTTATTTTAAAACTGTTTCTATTAAATAAATTTAACAGCAAGAAATGCCAGACAATGTTGGATGAATAGACAAAGGAATTCATCAACTATTAAAAAGCAAAACCAACAAAAATAGGTTCAATTGAAAACAGTCCCTCTTTCCCTTCACAACTATTTTCTTTGAATCTGAAGTCCCAGTGCTGTTCTCTGCATTCCATGATATTAAACTCCTCAAAATTGAATGAGAAACACACAAACCTGAATAGCAAGCTGGCAGCAAAGTTGTACCAACTACAGGGAAATGAAGCTTTCAGCATCACCTGCCAAGAACAATCCAATAAGGATTATTTCTAATGCTTTGTTTCATAAGGAAGAATAATAATTTTTTGCCAACATGGCCAGAAAATGTGATATGGAGAAAACACATCAGTGCAGAAAAGCAGATCCAGAGAGTCTATACCAGCCTTCCCTGCCCAGGCAGAATTAGCTGTGTGTTTATCACCATGGGATGTTGTTCAGACATTTAAACACGGTGGGGCTTTTTGTTGTTCGGTTTTGTTATGCTTTCCCTATAACATTACAGTCCCAGTTTGTTTTTTTTTTTTTTTTGAATGGCAGCTCAGTTTTTGTACTGTGTTTAGGTAAGATCCTATCAACGTATTGGACAGCAGCCTGAGGACTGATCTTTGTCCAAATTCTAACTAACACAGGAAGAACGCAAAGTATCAGAATTGTTTAACAAAGTTCTCTTGACAAACAGGAAAGCTGCAGTCACCTCAGTGCCTCGTTTGGGTAACAAACCATTTGTTGCCTGAATCCAGCCCTGCAGCTGATGGGCTCCTTGGCGCTTCCCACCTGCAGCACTCTGAGCAGTAGAAGATGCTGCTGGCAGCTGAAGATGGCAATGCCTCCCAGAACAGAAAAAAATAGGGAAAATTACCTTCAGGCTCCCACCCTCCCCAATCTAATCCTTGTTAAAATGATAACTGCAATAGGAAAAAAAAAAAAGGATGGAGTGACACAGTGTAAGGATGTGGGACAAGGACTTACCACGACACACAACATCAGTAGTGTATTTGTATAGCAGGAGCACAACTTCCAGTTGAGCTTAACTATTCCTTCTAGAAATAAAACAACTCCTCAGTGAAAGATTCCCCAACTTGAGGGATGTTGTTCCACTGCCTGATCACCTTCAGTGAGAGTTTTGTACCGGATTTCCTGATTTTAACACCTTCAGTTGCAGATTCCATACACTGAAAGCCTCAGGCCAATTACCACTAGATGAAAGCCATTTTAGAAGCAGAACCATCCCTATATTAATTACCCTGAACCTGAGAAAAGGTGTGGAAGAGTGATCTTGATGCAAGTGTTCCTTTGTACCATCTGAAACTGACATACCATTCCCTTAACTATCAGAAGAAGTCTTTACCATCTACATTTAGGGTTTTTCCCCCCATATTAGTGCTGCAGAAGAAACGATAACTATTGATTTCATTTGTAACTACCCATTTTTCTCTTTCCAGTGTGACATAGTTCAGTAAAATGAATAGAAACAGGAGCAGTGCTTTATAGTAGCATCGTATTAATGGCTGCGGGACTAATCATATCTAACTGAGCTGTGAGCATCAACAAGCCAAACCTAAAGCAGAATATATGCCTGCAAGCTTCATACTTAATCTATTTGACACAAATTTCATTTTTACATCATGGTACTATACGTGTTCAGTTGCATCATCTGTAGAAGCAGTTCAGTTTTAGCTGTTTGGCCACCTACCTCCTGCATTGAGTAACGTAAAAACTGAATAAAAATATATGAAGGTCCTTCTAACCTCAGCAATCACTCATATTGTGAAAATCAGAATAGATCAAGAATTGCTCTTATTTTTCCAGTCTTGCCTCTCATCCAAGCATGTGGATTCAAACAGTTCATGTCTATTCATAATTTATTGGAGCATTTGCAGTTTACATCAGAAATACAGGCCTTGCCTGCAGGAAAAACAATGACTAATAGCTGAAAGAGTGCATTGCAATTAGTCACTGCAAAGCACACCCGCGCTCACTGCTCAGTCCTCGAGTGCCAGCAAAGTCCAATAGGGAAGTCTGACACAAAATATGTCATCCAGAGAAATACACCACATCCACATGGCTATAGCAGTTAGATCACAGACTGATTTTCCCCTCCTGGTTCACACCTGAAGGAAAACCTATGTTTACAAATGTTCGCAAAGAGCTGAGCCCCTTAAGGAAGCTGATGGGAAGAGCTGTGCTCTGATTAAACTCTCACCACCAGGACACACTCATTCTCCTTTGGAAGACCTGGACCAGACTGTATTTTTTCTTTTCAATTCCAGCACTAAACACAAACAATTACAGGAGCTAGAAGATGCTGCTGCTCAGAGGCAAGTTGCTGCTCATCTGTCACCTCTTGCTTGTGTAGAATGGGGATTCCGCTCTGGTGATGTCTGCAACTCAGCAGGACATTGTAATTGATGTCCCTACTTCTCACAGTCATTTCTTCTCTCAATATGCTTTGCCAAATGTCACTCAGGATTCACCTGGGTGCTATTCTTGACATCTCTGCCATAGGGATCCTAGAGGGATCCTTGGATAAAGTCAATCAGGAAGCATTTGTACATCTCCAAGTCAGCTTTACTGAAAAAGCCTTTTGCTGACAACAGTGTTCACCTCTGTGGCCCTTCTTTCAAGATTCAGAGCACCTCCTGTATAAATCCAGATGTGGAGACAAACTCTACAATTGGTTCATGCTCTTCAGACTCACAGCAATGCAAGGCATTTTGCAAGCAGGAATTTCATGGGCAAAGCAAAGCTGGTTTAGAGATGCCTGAGGGGAAAGGGAGCCACAGCATTTTCCTTTTCTCCTCTTTCCCCCCCTCTTCCTCCTTATTAACAGCTGGCTTAGCACACACTTCCTCTCATGCCCTGGCCACGGTCAGAGGCTGTGCACTCACACTGTTTAGATGAGGATCATGCCTTCTTCATTTCTACAGTTGTTACAGTTGCAGATGGTCACAATTAACAGCTTGCTTTGGAAAGGCAGAGGACAGTGCATCTGGAAGGGGTTCTTTGTGCTTTTACAGCACTGAAGGAGTTTCACATTAAGAGTTTCCAGAGTGCTTTCCAATAATCCAGGTGACATTTCTATGGGATTTTACTACAGATTTTATTTATCGTTATGGACAACAAAGCTTATGGAATTTGAGACATAACTTGGTTAGTTCTTAAAGGCAAGCTCCTTCCATCTGGGCAGGTTGCTAGGAAGAAGGAAAGAAATGGAAGATTTCAGGAATACTAAAGGCCCTCTCTGTTCACATAAAAAGCATGTTGCCTTCCTGAATACATTATGCTAAATCTGCATGCAAATGAGAAATGTATAAATAGAATTGGGCATTAACTGACATAAGATTTTTTATATTTTTTTTTAAATGGAGATGAGGCAGAGGATGTTATTAAAGGAGTTAAGCTCTAACATCTGTTTTTAATTCTACTAGCTTATTTGTCTGTTTATACCTACAGGCTTTCAAGACATCACTTAACACTACTAATTAAAGCTGAAATTTTTGTTCACAGCAATGCTTTCTTGTATCCCCTGCAAGCACTTACTCGTGTCCCTGCTGTCATTGCAGGTGACAGCTTCTTGATGGAGGAATGACATGAGGCCAGAGTGCCTCCACAAGGGATGGGAAGAGGTTCACCTTGTCCCATCTGACAGAGGAGCAAGTGATGGATGGCAGCAACCACTATTCTGCCCACAAGTCTTTGTCTCAGCTCTAGGCTGGGTCATAATCTGACCTGTTTTCTACCATGGCTGAGCTAAGAACAAAACAAAGGCAACGTTCGAAAGAATATTTCTAAAATGCCTGAGAAATGGAGCTCTGATTTAACAATATGACATTGACTACACAGAGAAGATACACCATGTTACAGGTGCACACACAATCCAGTTTTTCTTAGCACTGAGAATCCCAGCTGCACTCATGCCTTAAGGAAATTTGGCATTTTTTCTTCAGGACAAGCAACACAATGCTCGTTTGAGAATAGCAGTGCACAGGCAAGCAGTCCACAGCTATGGAAGTGCATGCAGAAGTGGCTGAGATGACTTGCCATAAGCACTTCACAAAAGAAGCCACAAAGACAAGTACCAATGAGTTTATTAATTGCTTCACACTTTGGACTTGAACCTTCAGACATTCAGCCATAAATATTGTTCGTTAGCCATTTGCATCAGTTTTGCTTTAAAACAGACACATCACACCATTCCCTGCATACTGGTGAGAGGTCAAGCAAGCTGGCAAGAGGCAGCCCATTATAAAACCCCAGTCTCTCAACCCTTGCATCATACATACTTTCCATCATAAGCCTAGTATCACTCATGCACCAGCATATGGTGACAGCTGTGATACACAGTGGGCTGAACAGACAGACTCACAAAAAGAAGAGAATTCTAAGAGGTAATGAGTGAATCTCTGACTGTGCACAGTATCATGTTCACTTCTTGCCATGCAGTGGTTTTATTTTATTTTTTTAAACCAGGAATTTCACAATCTGAACAGACTTTCTTCTCCTTTTTGGAACTGCCAGTGTGCTTTAAAGTGTATTTTTAAACCTGTTTCAGTCTGGAAGAGAGCTTTTGTTGCATATACTACAGTGCTTATTACCTTGGGGCTTGGCTCCCTGGGTGAGGTGTCTAGACATCTCTGCAGTGGAAATAACTGCACAGCCTAGCACTGTCTTGAATCCACTAGTTTTAGAATTAGGAGTAATTTCATGCCCCAGGTTGCCATAATCAAACACATCTGTTGCATGGAAATTATCCACTGCCATCTTGACTGCAAAGCACAATATGCCCAGATTATCCATGTTCTAAAGATCAACTTTACTTCCTAAAAGGCTGCATTAAGCACCACACATCATAACACCATCAGCACAGGTTTAGTCATTCCAAGACTCGCGTGGGACTCAAACAGAACCAGAGACTCACTTTAAAGATAGGAGGACAATTCAGGCACGGTAGGTTCGATGAGTAATATTGCAGACACTGAGCTGCATGCCAGGAAAATAAAAAAAAACTGTTTGAAATACTTCCACAAAAATGAATTAGAGCACTCCTCTCAATCATTCGAAACATGAAAGAGTTATAACAAAAACAACCATTCATTCAAGTCAATTTTTAGCTTCATTTGTCTACAGCTATACTTCCATAGTTTAATACACAAAAATACTATGACAGATATGCAAATCTGATATTTTCAGGCAGGAAAGGTGAAATCCCTATCTATAAAAGCTTCAAGTCTGATCTTTAAAAGGAACCTGCAGCTGGCTTCTGTCATCTCTCTCTCCTTCATTCAATAAGCAGACCCACAGCTTAAGAAAAATGAGGATTTAGTCCACAGGAGGACAAGAACCACATATCCTCCCCTACTAGAGCAGAATTCACCTTTTTTATGTAGGAAAACACTTTGGCATTTGTCAAAGAAAAAAGGGGTGAGAGGTGGTTTGTGTGCAGCCTCCTCAGGTATTTAGATGTAAAACTTCCCAAGTAAATGAAAGAAAATTTGAGTAATCCTATACAAGTATTTTATATTAATTTAGAACACTGTGTTTTATGCTTTCTTGCCTTATGTAGTCTAATACTGATGCTGCTTTCCCACCAAATAAGGGAGACATTTTCTTGAAACTCCACAAAACAGAAGTGTTCTTCCCATTCATTTTCCCTCCTTGCTGCACTTCCTTTCCTGGTCTCTGGTCTGAAACATACCATTACTTATTAGCTACATTCCACAGGTCCAGGAGGCTAAAAGCACACAGGATCCTCTGAATTACTCTTGCAAAGAAGCTTTTCACATCACAAAGCATCACTCATCGACATCAGACCATATCTCACTGCTGCTCTGCACCATTACATCCCAACCAGTACAAGATAAGCTCTCGAAGAAACACAGCCCATCTGCAAGCAGAAACACAGACAGGAGCATCCACTAGCTAAAACTCAGCTCTCTAGTCATGTTGGAAGCACAAGTTGTGCTTGTTATGAAGCCTGCACCACAAATGGGGCCCAGAGAACAAATTCCATAACACGAAAGTTCAGGAATGCCAAGAGTTCACCTCAGTGAATGTACAAATCAAATAAATGTGGTCTTAGAGCAGGTTGCTATGATTATATCCATAAAAAAAGTTGAAAACATTTCCTTAAGGAGACCTTATTGAATATTTAAATGCATCAGAATTAACAATACCTATGATGTTATCAAGGAAACTCACAAGCTAAACATTTAATCTAGTGGAGCAACAGAAAACTAGGAAAGCATTTCCTCATTTTAGCAGTGTTTTGGGAACGTGTGCTCTGCACTTCCTTTTTAAATGTTGAGTTGCCTAATTGAAATGCAGCTCATATAGCATCCAGGCTCACTTCTGGATCACTAAGAAATTGGTCCGATTTGAAAATGTCAGGATCTGGTTAGCAATTCAAATGACCACAGTGGTAATTACGCCTTTTCATGTTCCAGCATGTTGCACTGCATCAAAACTGACACAAATGCCTGGTTTTATAATATCACAGCATGGAAATAAATGTCCAAAACGATATGAAAATGTACTAGTAAGAGATTAATAACTGTTCTTCTAGGAAGAAAGATGGCTCTTCTCAACCAGTATATTTAAAAGAAACCTTCTCTGATAGCATCTCTCCTTGAGGGAAACTGAATTATATTATCACTCATAAGCTATAATCATTTCTGTCAGCACCAGTCAGAGTATTTGAAGGAAAGGAGGAGGAGAAAGAGGGAAAGGGTTGTGGGGTAAAAAGAAAAAAAGTAGTTCAATCTTATAAATAAGTCCAGAGAGATACAACTTAAAGGTTCCCCTCCAGCATTTTGTTCTCTCTCCCATCCAGCAGATGAGAACATATTTCAAGTGTTTTATTTTGATCATAAAAACAGAGGAATTATGTGGATAGGGAGTAATGCATCATGAGCGATGTGCTCTGCTCTACAATCTTTGGTACCAATGTGTCATTTTGAGATATAAGCCTAAAGCAATATGGGCAAGGGAAACTTCTTACTCAAGAAAGGAGCAGGGAGAAAAAAGTCTTTCCAAGTCTAATGTTCCCCCAGAAGTCACATACCAGAGTCACTAGTTGCCTCCTAGATACAGGATGGTTTGAACAGCTCAGTACTTTGCACTTCTGCCTCTTAAAGGAGGTGGAGATCCCAGTCAGCACATCCCTTGAGCAGCTGTTTTATCTGATAGATCACACAATTCCAGTCATACACATGACAGAGCACAATAGATTGGTGCCATGCCTTCACAGCTCTGCTCAAGCCTTAGAGAGCCCATGCTTCCTCTGTATCTAATGCTTTCTCAGCACCTGGGCATGGGTACTGGCATTTAGAACAGAAGGGATCCATGAAGTTGTAATGGAGACACGTTATTGTTAGACAACACCCTCACATCAGCTCCTTCAGTGTTTGAGGGATTTTTGTTGCTGTTCTTTTAACCAGTATCTACTAATTCAGCAAACACCAGGGAGTGCTGCTAGAACTGCAGGTCCCTTGACACATTATGATAGGATAACCTAAGTACTGATGCCAGAAGGAACAGTTTTGCATAATCCTGGAATCACAGAATGGCTTGAGTTGGAAGGGTCCACTCATTTCCAACCTTTGCCATGGGGCAACAGCTGCTGGGAGAGGGGAGAGAAACACAAAGAAGCTGTCCCATGCTTCAAGTTGTCAGACAGTACAAAGTCATGTGCTATTCTTCTTCCAACATGTTTACTGCAAGTGTCACATCTTACTGTAATTTGAATCCAATTTATGTCATTGACAAGATAACCAAATTCAGTCCTCACTTGTCTACTGCTAGCAAGAACATTACAGAGGAATAAGTAACACATAATGAAAGCATTCAAGATCGAGGGTCATACAAAGCATGAACCAATCTAAAGCAGCAGGAGAAATTGGCTGTGTAACTGGTTTCTCCCAAGCTAAAGTAGTTTTAGTTGGGGAGAGGTCCAAAGAATGTTTTCCAACATTTTCACAAGGTGCATAAATTTTGCAGAGAACTGTTAACTTTATAGCTCTTTTCAGACTTGGGAGGAAGTACTACAGCCAAGATTGTAAACTAAGGCTCCTGCCTAACAAAGCAGAGCTGTATGGCTATGCTCAGCCAAGCCTTTCAACATCAAGACATTTGTGCCTTACAATCGTGTGACCCCAAGAGGCCACAAGAACATAATCTTCTCTTTCGCAGAGGAAAAAAAAATCAGATAGTAACGACTGACTGCAGTGGGTAATTAATGAGCCTCTATTCCAACGTAAGCCAGAAATCCCCAACATTTTCATCTAGGTAGAAATCACATGTTATGCACTCAGCAGACAGACTTCTTACTCTGCAAGCAGGTTTCTTCTGTCAAAAAGAAAGAAGTCAAAAAAATACCTCAAAACCTTATTCAATATCATAACATAAGGTATCATAATACACACTGAAGAGAAAGCAATGAATGAGTAAAACAAGAGAACTATGCAGAGAGGCAGTGCTCATCTGGCACAAGATGATGTAGAACATTTCTTATCCTAAAGTGATCAGAAGTCAAGAAAAAACCTGCAGAGTGATCTGGAATCCACTTCTGCTGGGACAGTTTGGTGAAGAAATGCACTCAAATCCACATTCTAACAACAAATAGTGGATGGGAGTTTACAACGGAGCTTGTACATCTCTACATGCTATCTAATTCTTTTCTATCTAAAAGTAGAGATGGGAGAAGTGAAACTATGATAGTTTTGAAAACATTCTCAGAGTATTAGAAAATGAAGAATCACTGCTAGATTAACATTCTTTTCAATTTCCACTGTAATTTCTATTTTCTTTTTTTCTGCTATAGTATTTAAGTAGCCACAGTGAGAATCAAGTTATTCCTTCTGCCTTCAGTTCCTGAAAAGGCAAAATAAGCAGAATATGATGTTGTTCTGCTGGGAAGGCTGATCCCAGATCAATGCCCAACACCTTGGTAATTGGTCAGACAACATGGCCTAAGACTGTACAAAATAAGGGCAGAAAAAACAAAGAAACAGAAACCACAAGAACATGACTTTTAAATTGATCTCTTCATTAGCATTGCAATACAAATGCCTCAAAGATTCTCAAGTACACATAAGAGAAGCAGCAGCACAACTTTATGATCCCGCTCACACCTATCTAGGTGCACAGAGCTCAGTGAACTCTTATAAAGCTTACCATACTGGCCAATACTTCTAGACAGAAACTCTCTTTTCAGTTCTTTCCTACTGGGAAAACCAACTGACCACACAACTTTGGAGTAACTGATGGGTCTTTTAAGCCCTGCATGTACCTGAACACACAGTAGTATACAGCATCAATGCTTATGCAATAGTTACACCTCCTATTGCAGAGTGCCAAAGTCTGAGATCAAGGAAACTGCCATGCCACAGTCAGCACCCAAAAACTAGAAGGTGTGCTCAAGCAGGTCATCATGGTACTCCCATTATCATTTATAAGACTATGCTGAGATGGTCACCATTCATTTTTGCAAGCAGAACAGGAAAAAAATTCTAACTAGCAACAAAAGTTGGAAGTACCTCCTTTAAAGAAATCAGTCTTCCATAGAACAAAAACAAGTGAGAAATAGTGAGGCTTTTTTTTCCATATAGATCTCAACATAAAAAGGGCCAACCATATGCCATAGATCCTGTGTGTGAGCTGCAAACAATAACAGTAGTACTAATAACAATTATTTTTTTTTTAAAGAAAAGCAAATTGGCAGACTGGATTCCCAATGGATGAAAACAGTCTGACAATTTACAATGAACACATGTTTGAAGTCAGCTTCAAGTAATATGCTAACAAGAATTATGTGCATCTGTTTCATGCTCCCTGAGAATAATGCCATCAAAACTGAATTAAAATGCTTCAAAACAACACAGTCTGAACACGTCTTGGACTAATTAAAATTAACCACGTTCCTGAGGTCAGCAGCTTACCCCTTTGGACATCAGCAAATTCTAGCTAAGGTCACTCATCAAGCAAAATAATGAATATCTGTGTTCAAAAGGCATGCACAATACATTTATTTAATTAATGTATTATTGGATTGAAGGAGATTTATGGAGTCATTTCAATTTTGGAAGACCACAAGAGCACTCTTTGGTCGTACCACTGTGGAGTCTTAGCAGTATGCAGTAAAGTAAATTAGGTCAGCAGTAGAATTTCAAAGCTTTGACAAATTATTAATTAGTTTACAGTATCGTTTGATAGGAAAACAACTTATTGCTACTAAATAGTATAAATTAGCTTTCTTTAATTCAAATAAGCAAAGGAAACTGTAGATCTGTTTTGCATGTGTATTACTGAAGCTGTGGCACTGTCAAGTTCCTTATGTAAGTTAGATACTCTTATCCTAGTTGAAATGGAGCAGAAAATCATAACTGGTCACCAAATAAACATTCAAGATAATGTAACTATTTGGAAGCCTTTGTCTTGTTTTTGGTTTTTTTTTTTTTTCCTATACAATAACTAAATGGGAAAAACTAAGATCATGATACAAATAAAATAATCAGATTTTTCAGCTCACGCTACGCTGAACTTCAGATCAACACAATGATAATGGATTAAGATCCTGGATCTACCAGCAATGCTGCCTTAGCACACAGGAGGTGGTGGGAAAGCTGGCCAAGGTGTGCAGTTATCATCAATAGACCCTGCATCAGTGGCTCTACTTCTCATTGCAATTGGATCCCCATCAAGTGGAGCCTCTGGGTATCACTGCAATATAAATAAATATTTAGGTGAGAAACTGATGGTTTTGAAGTCCACTGTTTCCCTTGCAAGCTATGTGCTAAGGCACTTCCCTTGGGATCTGTTCCTGTCTGAACACCAATTTACTCACCAAGTTCCAACTGTTCCACATGATTATCAGTACTTTTTTTTTTAAAAAAAACATATTGGCACTAACAAACTGTGAAACCTACAAAATGAAAATAATCTCCTTATGTCTTAAAGCGTGGGGGGTGGGGGAACAACTCATTTCACCAGGCGCTGATCTGATTACTCTGTGAATAAAGCTAATCAGTGTAATTACACTGTTTAGAAGCGCATGCTATGGCCCCACAGATGAACAAAAAATACTTCTGTAGGTGCCAGCTGCATTCCAGATTTGCTAAACTAGAATTTTCTGTCTTTTTTCTTTATTATATTGGTTTCAAATTATTCTTTCAAGTTCCAATCACGTGCAAAGAATTGGAGGAAGTTTCCTACCTTTCCAGCCAGAGCATTTACTGAAAAGCTAACAATTTTTCAAGATGAAGCACAGTAATTTCACACATTGTGATGCTACGTCAGGAAAGGGCTGAATTTAGAAATCTCAAGTCCCACTCAATTACCCTGAGAAGCATATCAGCATTTTACTATACTGCTACAACGTGGACATTACCTCCACCATCATCTCTGTATTTCAGCATTAATATGTAAATTTGCCAAAGGATCCTAACTACAGAAACAGCACTCAGGCTTAGTAAAGAAAAGCAGCCCCTTAGGTGTCCAACATTCTTAACTAATTGACACGAAATAGGTGAGGATGCTGTACTGCCCATTCTATGAAGAGCATTTCGAGAGAGAAGTGGAGGAGTCAGTGTGATAGCCTTTTCCCTTTCACATCCAGCAGCAGGCAGAATTTAATCTTATACTTCCCAGAACTTGTTTATGATCTGGGAATTCCAGCATTGTCTTTATCCCGTTAATCCAGCTCCGAGTTGAAATATCAATGACATTTTCTCACATATTGGTTTTCAACTCGGAGCTGCTGAACCTCTTGGAGGATTCTGGCTGGGTGTGCTGCCCTCAACAAATGCATTTGATGCTCATGTATAGCCTCTTGGCTGCTTGTTTGCACAGCCATCTGTCAGGATGGCATACTGCCTGCTTACTAGGTGGTGTGCCAGTTTTACTAGTGCAGAGATGCCAAGAATAGGTGGTTTTAAATACACAGCCAGCACCTCTCTTCTTACCACCACTCCTCCACTATCTCAGTGGAGGCAGAAATAGCCACTCAGGAGGCTGTAAGTCCACCCCGAGTCCTCACTGAGATCATTAACAAAGCTTTAAAACAACAAAAGTACCAGGAGATGAAGAACTACAAAATAACCCACTCATCAATAGCCTGGAAACATAGCAGCTGAAAATCTGCAGAGAAACCCATATGCATGAAGTGCTATAAACCCTGGAGTGAACCCTCTCATTTGAAAAATGAAAATGCCTCAATGCTATTAAAGATGTAAAGAAAATTAAAGCCACTCCAGCTCTGACACAGCACCCGTATAGAAAGAGGTTTAACGCATTCAATTTACACAGTTGAAATTAATTTGTTACAACTTGCATTGTTTTCTGTTTTCTTATCTCTTCAATTTAAAGCTTGCCTCCATCGTGATGTTTTACTGCTAGAATGTGATTAATAGAGATGTGAACATGACTCACTCCACAGTAGCTTCATTTCTGTACAAGCTAAGACCTAGCATTCGTTCTCCAGGGTCTTAACTTCTGAGCCCAAAGACTTTACCTGCTTCCCTCATCCTGATACAAAGCAATGAATGTCTGCCTGCAAGACTGAGGACATGAGCCTACATCATGAGTAAGGAGCCTCTTGGCCAGGAACATGGCAGCACACAGTCCCAGGACTCTCCCAGTAGCAGGAGCCAATTCCACCCAGCAGCAAAGTGGAGGAGTTCCCATGGGATGGGGAAGGGCCTTGCAAGTCAGTTTGTGCTCGTGTTTAAGAAATCAGCATGAAAAAGAGCAGGCTTTAGGAGGGGTAGTGAGAAGGTTTGCCCTCATACCAAGTTCCATGCCAGTGCTCTAGCTGCAGCAACAAGGCACAGAGCTGTATTTGCTGCCCTCCTGCCTCACCTCAGAGCCATCTGACGGGCTCCACACTGCTGGCACAGGCAGAGCATGTATTAAAAATTAGCCTCAAGGCTAAAAGCAACAGCACAGGACAGATCAATCACACAACATTAAAAAACAACGTTGATGGGGTTCCAGCACACACACGTGGGGTTCTGAGGAGGAGGTGAGATCCAGCCTGTGCACATAAACACAACTGACCTTTTTTGGCAGAGAAGGGACTTTTGTAAACAAGTGATTTTCTCCTGTTCTGAGGCATGCAATGGTGCCAATTTTGAAACACATCTGAGCACTGAGTACAAAACAAATGCTTTCCAGCCCTGAGTTAGGAGTTCTATTTGGATAAAGTCCATTTGAAGGAAACAAAAAAACAACACAACACCTCATTCTTACTCTTTCAGACCCCAAAAGCGACCCATATTCTCTGTTCTTCCTTACATTGTCTTTGTTTCTTTCCCTCCACACCTTTCCTCCACTCTTCCCATTCTGAACTCCTGCCCAATTCTCAGGTCAGGTAATGCCACCATCCCCAAACACATTTACCTACATTTGCCAAGTCACTTACAGCACCTCCCCATCTGCGCACCAGAAAGAAATTATTTGAGCCCACAAAGCCAGAAACACCAGCTAACCTAAACTCACTGAACTCCACAGGACTCTAGGAAGTTCTACCCCCCCAAAACAGTGCTAATTACCAACAGCTGATCCCATCTTGCTCTGACAAGAGAGGCTGGCACTTTAAATAAGGATTTCATGTTAAATCCCATCATACATTTGCATTATTAAGCAGATTAGCAAAGCATATGCAAAAGGCAAATTTCTTGTTTGTTCTGTGCAGCAGTTGCCATTATTTATGGATGCGTTTCAGCTCTCTGCTACGTAGAGCATTATGAACTACACCACTCTAATGTTTCAATAGAAAGACACTTCCTCTTGCAATTTATTTGTGAAAGATGCATGCATAAAGGCATTCTTCACAGCTCTTGTAGTGTAGCCATTAAAAACCGTTTGAAGTCTTCCCACAATTGTTTGTACTTTTGGGCAGCAGGCCAAGTGCACCAACTCACACTAGCCAATTTTAACACCCTCACATACCCATAGTGTCACCTAGAGTCTCCCCTTCATGCAGCCAGCTTTAGGCTCTCCAAACAACCCCATGCTAGTGACAGAAAGGGATGCATGTGTTCCGTCATCAGAGGGTTAAACCCTCCGTCAGCAGAGGTCCCACAAGGTACCATGGTAGATCCCTCCACCACTTCTGGCTGGCACTTGAGAGCAGACATGAAGGGAATTCCCTGGAAGTGCTCCACGTTCTATAGCTAACCAGGTCTACTAACAGGGGGTTCACCTCAGGGATGCTCATCTAATGCACAGCCAACAATAAATTGGGTCCTTGAGCCCTATATTAAGGATGCACACAGTGGGAATTCCTGTCCTTTCAGCTCTGCTCCCAGTTCTTTGATGGGATGAACAGACCTGACTTGGATCAATCTGTCAAGAAAGTCATGGGGAGAAGGAGTAAATCTCCAATGCATTCTCTTGCAGTGTTGCCTGCTCAGGAAGAGGCCAAAACGATCTCCAAGCCAAGATGCAATTCTCACTCAGTGGATGAGTTGCTCAATTTGTGCATAGCTTCCTGAAATATCTGTATTTATCTCCCATCTGAGAACTCGCTGCGCATTAAGCCAAATTCCCTCCATTCTTGCTATTTCTACACTATAATTACGTTACAGATTTCATAAGCTAAAGCTGCAAGAAGCAACAATCCAGCTCTCTTTGAATGGGAGCAGATTATACTTTCTCAAAATTCTATAGAATTGTTTATGTTTGCATGATTTGCAAACCGCCATGGGGAATGAGGATTACCGTAACCAGCATGTTTGTTTGGTTTTCAAAGTGCTTGTTTTTCCATCATGCAGCAGATAACATCTGCACTCATCATGCCTTAGCACACCAAGCCTCCAAGATGAATAATTATAGCAGAGACATGAGATAAGGCTTATTGGAATATCTCAGCTGATGCACTCCCTTGCAAGCACAAGATCAGTGTCCTGCAGCTCCCTTGAAGAAGATTCTACCCAAAGGCAAAATAAACTCATGGTACCAATACCTTCTCACTCAGCTATCAGATTTTGGTCCCCCATACCTTTAACACCTTTGTTTTTATACATCTTAGAAATAATGATTTGCACTTTCTTGGGTATAAGTGACAATATGAAATATAATAAAAACACAAATCTTCCACCTACCATTAGCAGAGCAAACCAGATGAAATCTCCATTACTGAGCTCCAACCTTGTATTCTCTTCATATCTCACTGCCACGATTTGGATTTTACAGTCCTTCTCTCCTTTTGTTATGAAGAGCAGAAGCCTAGTAATAATAAAGATTAACATATAACACAGACAGAAAATGATCCTTCTAAGTAGTATCTCCAAGGACTACATTTTCAGGTAGACACCTCATTCTTTTCTGTAGAGAACATGAAAACTTTGCTTAAATACATCCAATCAATTCAAGTTTCTGGGAGTTTTAAATGATGTCAAGCTTGGCCCAGCATCTGCACAAGAAAGTAGAATTTTAGTGGCTATAATTACAAGCAATTTCATTCAAACAAATGTATGTATCTGCAAAAAGTCTAGTATCTATTTTAGGAAGTAGTCAATTAATGTTGCCTCTGAGCTGCTATTGCTGATGCTTACTGATAGTCAGAAATGCCACAGAGCAGTTTCCTAAGTTCTCTAGGAAAAATGTGGCCCCAAACTGATTTTGCATATAAAAATAGCAGCACTGAAAAAACACCCAAGGATCCATTATACGAGGAGAAATTAGTTTTCTGAAGAGAAATTAAAAGTGACCATTAGTATTAAAGGTAGAGTAGTTATGCTTTGACTCCAACTACATCTGAATATTACCAAAAAATTGTTGATTTATAGATGACTACTAAAGCTATTTTCTGGGCAAATGCAAGCCATGTAATTTGTATCTTGAACCTTTAACTCCCAGCTTCAGGGCTGCTATAAGCAAGACAACATATATGTATCCAGCAACATCCCTGAAATTAAAGATATTAATTTTCCTCGTGTTCAACTCACTTAAAAACCACTTCTCCAATCCAACAAAAGTCCAAATCCCAACGTTGTTCAAAACAAAAGTGAGCTCCTATTCACTCCTATTCTGACAGACCAGCAACTCTGCCATAAAATTAGAACTTTTTCTTCTTTGTGTAGCAGTCACTAGTTTCCAAATTAAAGTATGGCAAGAAGGAAGTGATTCTTCACTTAAGAGCACAAACTGTGGGGATATGAGGTGGAAAAATCAGTAACAAAATGCTGCAAGGTGAAAGGAAGGAAAGTTGGCTGGCAGAGTTGTTTGCACTGCTTTCTTGGTGAAACAAAATACTAAAAACAGCCGCAATGTTAAAATTAACCAAATAAATGTCATGTTCTAGCTTATGATCCAAAACACACCTCATCTAAATCAATGGAACATTCAAGCTAGGAACAAGTTTCAATTGTCTTATTCTCTCAGGTAAAACAATTCAAGGAAGTCAGCACAATTTTTTCCTTATTTTGCTCTAAGCTTATAGGATTTTGGAAGATAGATGGTCTTTATTCTGTCACTGCTGTGGTTTCCTAGCTGTGTGAATAACCTTCCTGATATTACCTCCACTTTAAATATATCTAACTGGCTTTGTTCCCAAAATTGAGATCAAGAAGTCACTGAGAATTCTGAATTAACACCTCACATCAGATGGAAATGAATTGGGTGACCTGCCACAACTTATCGCACGCATCACCTTTTGAAGTTTGAATGTTATCTATATGGATGAAGTAGAAAAACTTGTCCAAGTAGAAGCCATTGAGCATCTTAAACAAAATCTGTGCTTCTTCCATGGTTTCTCCCCAGTTTCACACCAGCTTAGTCTCTTATTTTAACCAAACCAGTTTCCAAACTAATTTTTTCCATGTTTGCTATATGTCAGCATAATATATTCTACAGCTAAGTGACAGCAGCTCCCTCAAGTGAGAGTCTCGTTTATCATTAGGACTCTTACACCCTTAAATCACACCGAGCAGAATAAATCATTAGGCCTTTCTGACTTTAAGGAGTTAAATGAAGCTGTTCCCTGCTGAGATAATATTCTCTCCTGTGTGAATATTCAGAAAGTTGGCAGGAACATCCCCCAGAGTTTGCACATCTACAGATTCCCACCGCCAGTTGTTCTGGGTATCCAAGTCATCATAAGAAGTTCTCAATGAAATATCAGGCCATAGTCCCACAAAGTCATACCCTATTGCTTCAGATACAGCCCCCTTGTCTAAATTCCTCATTTCTGTATTTCAGACTTCCTTCACAGACAGGAATCTCCTCTGTGTAGAACATGGTTTACCTCTTCTAAAGCAGAGGATCTCATTCCCATGTATCTGGACAGATTTCTTAACAAGTCAGTGCAGACCAAAGAAAGTCAAAATAGCAGAAGATATTGAACATTCATGACAAAAAGTTATTACACTGCATTCAGCCTCACCCACATGAAAGGATAGGCCAGCACATAAAGGGCTTAAACATCTTCTAATCATGAATCAAAGATGACAGCTATTGCATGATCTCCTAACACATTTTTAGGGCTTCTGTTCTCAGGCTACACAAGTTGTGAAGGCATAGATGAATTAAAACAATAAAGGCTTTTAATCCAGTTGAACAAATGCCAAATCCCTGTAATCCCCACAGACTCTTCCTATGTAGCATTTCACATTTTAAAAATTGAAATTTAAATACAGAACAAAAATGTTAAGCATTCTTGTTCCACAAGAATCATTCTTCTGACTTTCAATCCCTGTCTGTTAGAAAGGAGTTTATTCTTATATTCTAAAGGATAGGCACGCAGTATTCTGTGAACAGACACTAAGCTTGCACATAAGCATATTTCCCAAGCACCAAGCACTGTCAAATAGTCCTCATCCCTCAACAGGGCTTTTTACCTCAGTTTCAGTGTTAAAGAAAACTCAGTAAGAGTTTTCACATCAGAGTTCATTTGTCTGTAGTTGGCCCAGTGTCTCAAACCTGATCCAAATGAAGCAAGGATGGGAAATCCTGAACAGAATCCTTTGACAGGAGCAAAACTTGCTGCCATTGTATGAATGGGTGATGGACGAGAACCATCTCACAGCTGCTGTGGATGTGGCACTTAGGGACACAGTTTAGCAGTAGATTTATAACATTGAGTGGATGGTTGGACATGCTGATCTTAAAAGTCTTTTCCAAGTTTTTTTTTGTATTCTCATTGCCACTAAGACTAGTGGTTTCCCATAACATAAGCTTCACACCATCAAGAAAGCAGTATCACAACAGACAATCATGCTGGGGAAGGCCAGATGGTCTTCAGAACCCAGGTACAAGGGAGTATATCTCTAGTTCAATGGTCATCTTAAATATAGCTTGAAAGATTACTTTTTCATTAGGAATCCAAGATAATCTAGCAGAAGCTTTAGAAAAAGACTATACATAGGAAGAGCAGCCCAAGAGATCTCTTCTCCTTGCTTCTGTGTGGCAGCTGAAACAGGGGACTACATCTACAAACTGAACCAAGTTATTTAAACATTACAAGGGAAAAAAGAAAGTGCTGCAGAAGACCAAAAGAACAAGGTGGCAATGGAGACATCTCACATTCAAAGTTATGCCCCAGTGTCTCACAGAAAGCCTGGCAGTCGCTAAAAATCTAGTTGCTAGGAGGATATACACTTAACCCCTTCTCCAACACAAATTTTACAGCCCTAAGAAAAAAATTGCTTTCCAGTCTTCTCCATTCAAATAACTGACAGAAGTCATTTTTGTCGTTGCATTGGTACTCAACTGAAAACCTAAGCGTGCTAGATGTTTCCACATAACTCAGGAAATAGATATCAAATAGAAACTCCTTTCTTCTAATCATAGTGAACTGTTACAAGTGCTCAGTTGTGTTTTTACTCATCAGAATAAAAGTTGTTTCTCAACTCCAAAAGTTGTACTCACTGAAAGCAATGGTTCCTATCATTTTAACATCAGGGTAAAACTCAGATACTACACATACACAAATGCACACTGACTACAAAGAAGCCACATTTACCACCAGCATGTGGTATAACATGGAAATAATAAATGGCACAAAGACAGATCGCCAGCTGTAGAAGATGCTCTTTTTTAATTCATCACCCTATTTAACTGCTGCTTTACTTCACTACAGTTTGTATTCAATACAAAGCAATCACAAGTGTTTTACTGGACTAAATATGGAATAATTTGTAGCAATTTAATCCAGAAGACAACAATAAAAGCTTTAATATCGCCTCTTCTGTTATTTTCTATGATAAAAACAAAGTTTTTTGACTCTCAGAAATTCACCATTTGGTCCTAATGTACTTTGATGGAAAATAGCTTTAGAGGTTTCAAAAAGCCCAAAATAGAGAAACATCTGCTAAAATTTAGGTGCAGCTGTTTAGGGGAAAGTCCAATGCTAGAAAAGCCAGTACTCCCTCTGTAATCAATAACAACTCTATTAAAAACATCAGGGAACAGTGTGAAGTACTTGCCCAGGTTCAAAGTTCTTTTTTTATTTTATTTTTTTTTAAAGCACTGGCATCTTTTGGTCATCAAAACTTGGAGAGACTTTGTAAATTAGTGTCACACAGGTGTTTCAGCCAGAGTCCAACCAAGCCATAGTCGGCTGCTTTTCCAAAGCAATCAGAATTGGTGCAGTCTTAAGAAGAAAAAGCCCCAAAGCACGTTATCCAGTTTCATTTTTGGTAAAGAAGGCCTGCTGTATTTCCTGCTTAGAAGTGACTGCACTTCAGTGATGATCAAAACAACTTTATGTTAAGACTGTTATCAGTTTTGGGCTCTAAGAACTCTACAAAGCTTTGTCCACAAAGTCTTAAATAAGAGCCTAGTCCAATAGGACGAGAGGGAACGCAGCAGGAAAGGTTCAGGTTGGATATTATGAAACAAATTCTTCTGAGAGTGGTCAGGCACTGCAATGGGCTGCCTGGGGATGTGGTTGCATCACCATTCCTGAAGGCATTTAAGAAATGCTTTGACGTGGTACTAAGGGACATGGTTAGTGGGCAGCATTGGTGGTAGGTGGATGGTTGGACTAGATGACCTTGGAGGTCTTTTCCAACCTTGGTAATCCTACGATTCTGGGAAATGGCATCACTACTGTTTATATACTGGGGGGAAATATTCATGATATTTACCTAAAAGAATAATACATACAGCACTGAAGGAGAACAGACTATTAGCCATTGAGTGGAGGAGTAACTCCCTTTGAGTTGTTGACTGTGAATTGAACTCAAAGGGCCAGACAGACCAGTTTTTCAAAAACACTATCAATCACTAAACCTGTATAGAGCATTACACCCTTGGGAATGACAAATACTATTCAAATAAAGCTGTGTCTGCTACTGTACTGCATAACATCCAGATAAACAGTGAAAATACAGATGACTCAAGAAGCTAATGCCTGTGAATTTAATGAAAAAACATAACCTACCTCATCTTCGTCATATTGGTGAATAGAGTTATATGGTCTACTTAAGAAGGAAGAAAAGGCATTATACTCTTCACCAATTACCCAAATCAGAGCAGCTGGAGCAAGTTTATGATCTACAGCCTGTCAAGCTTCAGATACTGTAGCCTCAACACCTCTCACATGGGTTGTACAGCTCCAAACACTTAGTGAACCTCACTGTAATAATGGCAATAATGCACTAGAGCTGTATTTTAGAAAGCAAGACAAAGCTTGAGTAGCCTTAAAGTTTTTACTGGAAGAATGAGCAGGAAAGAGTCAAAATACAATTCATAACCATAATGTTGGTATGGAAAACACTCGATCCGCCACAAAACATTGACCTAAACTATTAAGTGTTTTGGAAACAAGCATGTACTTCTTACCTGTCTTCTGTAAAATATTTGTGTTTCCTATCCAATCTCCTCAAAGTAGCTGTTTCAGTATTAAAGTGCAAGAGCCACTAACTGAACTTTGAAACACACTCCCTACAGCACAGAAGACAAAAAAAAACAAAGAACCCCCAGGCTCTCAGTTGTAACAGAACTTACTAGTGCAGTGTTTCCTCAGAGCACAAGCAATTCCTTTAACCAAAATATAATTTTCTAAAAAAAAATATTTAGTTGAGGTGTATAGACTTCAATACCTTTGCACTGTCACTTGATGTTTGTACGTTTCCTAGGACTTCCTATAGAACAGGAGTTTTCTCACCTCAAGCACTACATCTACAGCCCAGGGATGCTACAGAACTAGTTTCACAACAGGTCTGCCTCTGAAGAACCACTTCCCTTTTACTGCAAAAGATTCGTGAGCAGGAAACTCATAAATGAACAGAATGGCTTCTGTATGAGGCACGACTTAAGCAGACAAGGATTCCTCAGGAGGAAAGGACATAATGAGAGGGGAAAGCGGGAAGGGCTCTGAAATTGTAGGGGCATGAAATGGAATGGTGGCCCATGTATTCCATACTGAATCAGGGAGACTTTAAGTAAGGCTCTGAGCCACAGATGGTTTGAAAGCAGTGATTCTGAAGACTGTCTCTACACGCTTGCCCTATTCCTATACTCTCCCCAGTACCAACCACTGACCCGTGTGCAACACAGCACAAGCTTAACAGACCTTCCTTCTCTCCTGCTACAGTCCCATGCTGATGATTCCCCTTCAGGGAAAACTCAGAAGAATGGAGACAGCTAGAGACATCCAAGAGAAAATAGGCTTTGCTGGCTTTTCAGACTAACAGCAAGGGACTGTGGCAACAATTTTATTTGTATTTTTTAATTATTTGGGTCAAAAGAAAACAGCTTGTCACAGTCAGCCTTACTGCTGCACAATGTGCATCTCTGAGCACAAACACTACCCAGAATATCCAAGTGACTTTTAAAAGACTTTTATGGATATTCCACTCTCAAAGGATGCCGGGCGAGATCAATGGACGCCAACTGAGATCATTATGTATGACTTACCTTGCCCATTTCCTTCCCTTTCTGCCTTTGAGGCTCTTTTAGTGCACTGAATGTCTTTCTGGGGAATTTCATTTAATATCTTGGCAGCATACTCAATTCCTCCTGTCAGATCCTTGAGGCAGTCCTATAAATAAAGGGCAGAATGCTTTATTACTAGAGTCAGCAAAAGAATTGTGCACAATGATGTCCTTACTCATACCACAACGTTATTAAAATGTGCATACAGTTTCTGTGGTTCAGAGGCAAAGGGAGTCAAGCAATTGCAACTTAATGGCTTCAGTTCCCTCTTCTCCTGGATGTGTGTCACACTTTGTATTTTGAGCTCTGCTCCACATAAGCTGCCATCTCAGTCCCCTTTACTTGCATTAACTCACTCAGCCTCACATCCCACTGTTCTTGCACAGACCTTCACATATACTTGCGTTCTCTCTAAACTGATACATAATAAGTTCCAGAGGCTTCCAATTGCAATCTGCGTGCTTCAAGTTTTAGCAAAGGGCTGCCTGCTAAGGCAAATAGTCTAAGCTCAGGGCTCCAAGGCAGCCTCTGTATTTCCAGCAGCACCCAGCATGCAAGGGACCTGGAAGAAGCCACACAATCCCCATTCCACATCCACCAAAAAATGCTACAGCCTGTTGCTGAAGGAGAGTGTCTTCGTAAAATAAATTTAAATAGGAAGCAGGTCATTGCTGAAAGTATTAATTTAAAACTAGCCTACTTCAAAAGACTTCAAAGTACTTGCTAGTATTACAGAACAATCCATCCAGGAATGACTTGCAGACACATTGCAGCCAGACTTGTGATTTGATCATGATGCTGCTCATCTTATTCGTGTGCTCTGTACCCATGGGTTTACACGATCACACAAATTTTACTTTTTTTTTTTTTTAAGAAATGTGAAGAAAGCTCTGAAGTAGGACCAAACCCTACTACTTGAGCATTGGGGAATTGCAGTCCTACAAATACTAACATCAAAAATGTCACTGGCTTTGAAGTGAGCAAAGAGAGAGAAGGAAAGGGGACTTGCTCCACTTGAATGAAATTTTATGATGTTAATCCTTGCTAGAAGGGAATGTGCTGACTGTCAATTTCAGTTCATTTTATGGCAGAGAAATGTACATTTCACCTAAAGTGCATCCTTCCAGAAAGGGAAGTAACTCCACCAGCTTTCCTTTATGATACCCACCAAAGAATGAATTATCACCAAATGAACAAAGACAGCCTGCACGCACCTCTTTCCTTCTCTCACATTCTTGCTGCAGTTGCAAGTAAGATGCTGGAAGCTACTGTCACCCTTATGCCTGCCCTCTTCACTTCACCTCATCTTCAAAACAGATAAAGTCAAATCTTACAACTGAACTTTATGAGAGAAAGACAACATTCAACTGACAGTAAATCTACACACCACCAACCCAGAACATCTTGATATCTGAATGCTGGTTTCGGGAAACTTATCTGCTGGGCTCATTTCTTAGGATGAGAGGCAGACTGGATAGGGATGCTTGCAAGCACTTCGTATGCAATGCAAGCTTGCAGGCTTCTGCTCACAGGGACTCTTAACCACAGAGCAGATGGGAGAAGTTATAAGTGCTCCTGCTACAAAGTCTGCCAGCAGTGAAAGAGAGATGCTGTAAAACGCAGACCTTCCAGAAGACCTACAAAATACCTTTTAAAGGGTGAAGCTCTCAGACACTACTGGAGCAGTACTTCGAAGGAAAATGAATGAATCGTCCTCCATTTAACAGTGCCTTCCTGGATTTTAGTGTCACTGTTCTCTTAGCAGAGATAACTCAGTCTTGTACAAAATAGCAAGGCCATGGAAGACACAATAGGAGTACTGCTATGACCTTCCTTCTGGCCCACCTCCAGCCCAACTGTAACCAGCCATCACTTATTGTGAATGCTCAAAGTTTAATTTCACAGCTGCAGAGTTTCTCTTTCTAAATCCTACACTAAACCAGGCTATCCCACCTCTTAAAATTCTAGCACAGGCCACAACAAAGGTTTCAAATAGCAAAATTATTGCTGGCCTAGAGTCATAGCTGATACAAATCAGCATCAGTCTACCAGGCCTTATTCACTATTTACTCAATAAGACTCAATAAAACTCATTCTGTTCACATTAGTCATCAGGTTTCTCAATATGGATGTTATAGTGCAACTTCTGAAGTTACAATAGCAGGTTTCCATGAGGACTTCAGTTTTAATATAATTTAAATTATAGTTACATAGTTCAAGTAAAGTTCCCCTATGTACACATATGCAAACAGATAGCTTTTAATCACGCACTCAACAAGGAACACAAGCACTATGACCAGCAATACAATTTCATGTACACTAAGGCCAGAATCAAAAGAATTTGTGAATACTGCAGTCATACAAACAGCAGCTGCCATCCATTAACGCAAATCAAGATGTGGGAAAATAAAGAGTACCACTACACATGGTTCCTAATTATTACAAGCCACACAGTAAACTAACAAAAAGTGACACTGTTATTTGAACTGCATCCAGATTAGTTTCATGTCTCTTATGTAGAGCTGTAGCAAAAAGGGAGGGGACTGTATATCTCAGAGCAGAAAGATCTTTTGACTTGGCATGTGTTGATGGCACATGGAAACTTTGGTTTCTATTTACCTATAGAATAACAACAAAACAAACAGTCTCAAGAAAAGAGAAAAGGTTTGGGAAATTAATTCAACTTCATCTGAAATAGAAAAAAGTAACTAAATTACATATCAAAGAATTCTACAAGTCATTTAGCAACTGACAAATGTGGACATTATACATGAAAAATAATATGGCCATAGAGTCCTGATATGTATTTTTTTCCTTATACATACACAATTCTCATTCATATGTAAGTTGTGTTCACAAAGTGAATACAAATGATTTCACAGTCAAGAACTAAGATAGCAGTGGGATGCTTTTAGACATGAAGTAAAAACAAAGCCACTTAAAACCCCATGTATGTCATCTTAAACACCTGTTTGGAACAGGTATCAATGTCAGACTCAGGGCTGGAATGTCACTGCTGCTGGCAGGGCACTACCATGAGGACATTGCCCCACTCACACCATCAGGTGTTGTTCATGCATGATCAAAATCTAGATGTCAAGGCAAAGCAGAAGGAGCCAGCAGGGAATACACCACAGAGGAAAGGGGTAAGGAGAAAAAGATGAATTACACAAATACAACTAAAACACTTCCCCTTTGAAAGAGAGGGAGGGAAGTTATACAAAATCAGATTTTACTGTAAACAGGGATGATCCTGACTTAGAGTTAACGTTTAGTTCATATAAACACTGGAGCTTAAAATTAAAAGATGTTCCCACAATGTTTCTATTTAAAATCTACCGAGAAAGAAATCTTCACCCCGGTATCTATGCTGAGTTTTGCTCTAACCTGCAAAAACACAGGCCCTCTCTGCTCGACAAAGCCAATGGAAAATGTACATTAAAGCAACTCCCACTTTTAAATTGTGCTGACCTGCACATTACCTTTCATTTCAGAATCTGTACATGCCTTTGATTTGAACCACAGAACAGCTTTAAGCAGAAAAGGAACTCATTTTAAAAGACTAGATATCTCAGAACTGCTCTCAGAAAGCATTTGAGTCCTTTCCCAGAGGCTCATTCTTCCACAGTGCAGAAATGCTCTCTGCTTTCTAGACCAGATGCATCAATGTGCAAAGCAGTTCTGCTGCTGGGCATCAGCCTGCATTTCAGTATATCTGGATTCCAACTTCTTCCCCCCCCAGATTCATTCCACCCCAAGGCAGCTACAGCAAATTACTTCATTTCTTCTGGACTACGCTTCCCATAAGTAGATAAAAATAACTCCATGGTTCCCCTCTGTGCCTGCTGATTGGGATTTCAGGGTGTGCAGGTTTTTAAACTTCATTTGCACAGTGCTCTAGGATTCTGATGCTGCTCGATTCCCACTGATATGCACCAATAACAAAGTAGAAAGCTCTACTACCTAAAAGAAAACTTCAGGGCACATCCAGGCTCAGCCTTTCAATGAAGCAGGCACTGTTGAATCCAGGTGCAGCAGCAGACAGCCAGGATGGAGGGATGCAGAATAGAACTGTTGCAATGACCAGCAAGTCTGCAGGCACAGCTTTTCTCTCTGAATTTGTAGCACATGGAACAAAGGAAGCAGAGTGCTAGAGAGGTTACAGAGCTGTTTAATCATAAAAGATGTCCTACTAGCTTACCATCAACATTAAACATGATGGAGCAGAGAACACTATGGCATTTCCATGGAAATTCAAGTCGTGAAGTTATTCCAAACACACTTCACTGAGGTAGAACACAGCAATACTTGACTATTTTTCCCTACTGAGGGGACCGTATCCTTCTGGAATGAGACAAACACTGACAGACCTAAGAGGCAGAAGCAGGCTCAGTAGAGGGCACACATTTATTGGGATCAAAGCAGATAAAGCACTATCAGCCATTAAACCTGGCCAGAGAACAATTGCCTGAATTATTTGTGCAAAAGTAGTGCTATCCTGGGACACTTCTCATCTCCCCCTTTGCTAAAATTCACAAGAGTCCTCATTAAAGACATGAGGGTGCATTAAATGAAGGCAGAACTTAGAACTAATTCTAAATACGTGCTGGTTTAACGGAGCCTTGTAATCTGCTCAGGTGCATTACATTTGTGATTTCCTTAATATTTCTTTAATGATCTTGGAAGGTAATTCTCCACTTCACTGCAAATCAGTTTTGTTCAGACACATTCAAGTTTTCCCACAGCGGAGCAAGCAAGTTATCAAGAGAACTAATTAGCTTGACCTTCTGTTTGCCCAGTAATGAGAAGTGCATCAAACAGGTTTCTCTTTTCATGTCTGAGCCTGTCAATTAAAACACAGGCTTTCTACTCATTGATTGTCCTCAGGAATATTTACCTTAGGCACAGCTAATATAAGCAATGCCCTCTCCACTCACCTCCTCACACTATCTGGTAATAGCTTAGGATTTTCTGCAGCAGAGGGAAGCAGCTATGAACATAAATCCCTTTGCAAAAATCATAGGAAATTATTCTGAATTCAGTGCTCCTTAAGCAAATTAAGAGCTACAATGTCAGACACTAAGGCACCCTATGGGCAAGAGCCAC